TTTTCCCGTAAAAATTTTTCCCGCCAAAATTTTTTTTTTGCGGAAAAGTGATTCCGCAATTTTTTTGCCGAAATTTTTTTGGCGGGAAAAGTTTTGGCGGGAAAAATTTACAAGGTATTTTAAAGGTTTTACGGAGTATTTACAAGTGTTTTGTAAGGTTTTACAATGTATTTTAAAAAGTTTTACAAGGTACTTATAAGGTTTTATAAGGTATTTATAACTTGTAAAACCTTATAAAAAACTTGTAAAACCTTATAACTTGTAAAACCTTATAAAATAGCTTGTAAAATCTTATAATATCTTATAAATACTTTATAAATACGTTGTAAAACCTTTTAAAATACATTGTAAAACCTTATAAATACCCTGTAAAAACCCTTTAAAATACCTTGTAAATTTTTCCCGCTAAAAATTTTCCCGCCGAAAAATTTGCGGAATCACTTTTCCCGCAAAAAAAATTTTTTGGCGGGAAAAAATTTTACGGGAAAATTTTACAAGGTATTTTAAAGGTTTTACAAATTTTTACAAGTGTTTTGGCGGGAAAAATTGGGGGATCACTTTTCCCGCCAAAAAATATTTTGTATTTTGTGGACCTAATTTTGTTATATTTCCTTATATATTTATGATATCTTTTATTAAAAAAGGGTAATTTAGTCATTTTGTACATAAAAGGGGTATTTTTAAAAATGGACATCCAAAGGGGGCATTTTTGAAAAGGGGTATTGAAATAGGGGCATTTTTGTGAGTCTCCCTAATATAAAAGTACAGTTAATAATTAGGAATTAACTAATTATACAGGTATTGCCCAATAAATTTGCTATACGAAGCTACTAATAAATAAAGTCATTAATAAATTATACAGCTGTCACAAGTAATTTTAAAATATTAATTTCCATATTACAAACAGATAAAAATAAATTTATAATATTAATTTAATTAAAGAATATTACTGAGAAAAAGAGTAACTATTCTCAGTACATAAAAGTACTTTTAATAGTAGAAAATCTCTTTGTAGGTATTTTTCCCTATTTAGCTTTTAGTAGTTAGTGAAAATAAAATTCATATAGAAAGAATAATTCGTTTTTGCTGGTCAACAAAATGAATAAAAATGACTAATTCCAATTATAATATTTTGACTACAATGAATTTGTAATCAACTTTAGTGTATAGACTGGTAAAAAAGCTTTTTTGTTGGCTTTTAAGTAATAAATTAAAATTAGTTTGACTGTTGAAAAATATTTGTTTGACTAGTGGAAAAGTAATTTGTATGTTCCCCTACTAGTTAAAGTGAAAACAAATCTAACAATTAACATTATATGTTCTCGTATATGTATATGTTTTCCTTGTAGAATAGTTATACTCTATCTTAATAAATGGAAAATAATCCGAAAAAATCTGACTTATTTAATAATTTGCCATAAAACAATCTGAACTTTTTCCGTTGTTAGAAAAATATATAAACAAATTTAGGCTGGAAATAAAAATATATTATCTATTTTTTTTTCGATCCCCTTTTCGTTGTAACGGCCGTTAATGGCGTTAACCAAATCGTCAAATGCTGTTACGCATATGTATGGGAAATTCCTAAAAAAAGCCCGACTTACATTATATTTGTTAGAAAAATACCCTGATTTTTTTCGTTGCCAAAATTTTTTACAAATTAATTTAATCGCTGAAATAAAAATGTGGCCTATTTTTTTGTTCCGATTCACCCACTTTCGTCGTAACGGTTATCAACATCGTTAACCAAATCGTAAATACCTTTACCTTTCTTTTTTTGGTAAAATGTGAAGTATTTATACCATTTTCAAAATTTCGACAGAAATTACAAGGAATACAAATAGCGGAAAAAAAAAACAAAAAACTGACAATAACAAAACAATAAAGAAGGAGAACGAATGTCCACGAAAGAAGAAACACCGAAAGAAGAAACACCGATTTCGAGAAACCAGACTCGGAAATTTGCGTGATTTCCACAACTCCAAGGAGCTAGAATCCCATCCTAGTTGCCATGAATAAACCCTAACAGAGGCTTGTCCTCAAAACCTCCGGAGAAAGCGCATACAGCGTCTCCGCAAACTAAAGCAAAAACGCGATGACAACACCGGACGTAATCACAAACCTGACGGTTACATGAGCATTGATGTGTTGCATTTTATAAGGTTTCGAGTCTTGATTTAGTCCGCGTTTTGAGTCATTTGTCGCGTCGTAGTCCGTCTTTTGCGTCTTGCAGGTTGCGTCTCGAGTCTTTTGCAGGTTTTAGGTGTTTAAGCAGGACGTGGATGTTTTCGAGCATTATCGGGTTCATTTGGAGCAGAAACACTCGCGAGAATTGAAAACCGAAGACAGGAGCTTCGGGATCAATCGATCCCGCTTCACACGGCGAGTTGGATCATTCCAGGAATTTCGGGATTGATCGATCCTAGGAGGGGATCGATCGATCTGGCCTTCGACGTACAAAACATCGCATCCAGGAGCTTGTGGATCGATCGATCCACCCATTGGATCAATCGATCCGGACCTTGATGACCCGAGCCGGTTTTCTTTAATCGGAATTATCCTCCTTTTTCTATACATGGGTATAAAAACACAGAGACCTAATTTTTCATGGCACGTTTTCTTTCTGTTGTTTTTCTGAGACATCTCTTCTGTAAGAAACACTTTGAGATTAGAGATTCATCCTTCTTGACAATTTGGAGATGATTTCTAAACCCTATTTCATTTCTATTCAGTTGAACTATGTCTTCCTTTACATCTATTTTGTCTTGTTTCTGTTGTTATGTGTGAGTAGTCTTTTAATTGGGTTGTCATTTCTATTCGGGATCGATCGATCCGGCCTTCGACGTACAAAGGATCGCATCCAGGAGCTTGTGGATCGATCGATCCACCCATTGGATAGATCGATCCAGACCTTGACGACCCGAGCCGGTTTTCTTTAACCGGAATTATCCTCCTTTTTCTGTACATGGGTATAAATAACCAGAGACCTAATTTTTCATGGCACGTTTTCTTTTTGCTGTTTTTCCAAGACATCTCTTCTGTAAGCAACACTTTGGAGATTAGAGATTCATCATTTCTTGACAATTTGGAGAAGATTTCTTAACCCTATTTCATTTCTATTCAATTGAACTATGTCTTCCTTTACATCTATTTGTCTTGTTTCTGTTGTTATTTATGAGTAGTCTTTTAATTGGGTTTTAGGGTTCTAAGTAGGAGATTTGATGGATTGATGGATTGATTAGTATTAGGAACTCTCATTCTCTAGGTTCTTTGATTCACATGTTTTTAATGCTAGAATAGGATTGATCACCCTGTTGTAGATTCTAGGTTTTTCTATGCATCAAAAGTGTTCGATAGAATGCTTGAAAGAATGTGAATTGAGCAGTGTATTTCTAGCCAACGAAGGTTGAAGTTAGGACGCATTGTGAACTTAATGAACTTGTTTGATAATGCGAATTTGACTAGGAAATTATATGCGAAAGTTTAGTAATCGAGTAGTCAAATTTAGTGATTAATGTCTTGAAAGAGAATTAGTTTAAATGTGTTCATGTTCAAGAACGGTACTTAATTGTTGAATTCTTGGTCTCATGTTTCCACTGTTCATTGATCTCTGAAATACCCTATGGCCCAATGTCTTTAAGTCTTGAAAGTTAAATCGTTTAATTTATTTGCATTTTTATTTTATAATCTGAAAACCCAAACAAAACAACTATTTGTTTTAACTAAGAATAAGTCTCAAAAGTCTTTAGTGTACCATTGATTCTTGTGGATCGACACCGTATATACTATCTTGCGGTTAAGTGTATCGGATAATTACTCGAGCAATCAAGCATCTACGGGCAACCAGAGAAACCACCTCCGGTCGCCATTCCTATACAAATGACAAGAACCATCTCCCACGGATAAACGATGCCACGTAGACCAAAGGGCCGCTTCTATTCTTCTCAAGAAAACTCCGCTCGAGCAAGACACGCACCTCTAAAAACTGATATACGAAATGAAAAACACCAACATCGAACCACCGGAACAGAGAAAAGGGAACCTGACGAAGAGCCACAAACTAGCAGCGACGGAACGTGAAACTGACACCAACGTCCTCCCACAAGACAGAGTAGACTCACCGTATATCGAAGAAAACCACCCACGGCAAGCCTAACCGCCACACCAACAACAAAAAGCAACAAATCACAAAGGCAAAACAAATTGATGCCGAGGAAGCCTCCACTTGTGCCACATATCCAAATCCTCACTCTCTGCGACCAGAAGCAGGAAAAAACCGACGAAGGAGAGACCGGGAATGACAAGAAGAAACAGAATAAGAGGAGGAGGGAGAAGAGAGAAGCGCGTGGAGGGTTTTATTATGGTTCCATGCGCGTGCACACCGGATCAATACCTTTACCTTTTCCATTTTACATTGATAAATAAGTTGAATTCTTATATTGTGATATAAATGCATCATTTTTATCTGACGATGCTATACAAAATTATTTAGGACGGACTACGGAGCTATAGAAATTACTCTAACTTCTAGCATTATTGAGCTTTATGTTGAAGGAAATCTAATCACCGAAGAGGTATGTTTTCTATGATCTCAACATCCTAAAGCTCTTTTCTCTAAACTACGTTGAGGCTGCAATGGAGATAGAATAAGCTAAACAATAAGCTAAGTTCACTTGGGGAGCTGCTTAGGAATCCTTGTTCAAACATAAACGTTCGTATTCTAAACAAGTGTCATCTGAAGACTTGCATGTATAATTCAAGCACTTTCAGGCTGAACTATTATTTTCCATAAATCTCTTCTTGTAGCTGCTATTAAACCAAATATCTTCTCCTTTTAAAACTTATAAGATTGGTTATTTTTGTAATTTCTAAACTTGTTTGGGTTATTGTAGCATATCTTCTTTCAATCAATACGAAAAATTTAAGAGAATAAAGATTTCAATGTCGGAAGCTATACAAGAGAAAGATCCAATTTAAGAGAATAAAGATTTCTAGCGACAAGAGGACATGGAAATTTTTTATCAAACTGTGTCTTCGATTTGATTTGGTAAGATTTTCTAAGTTTCATCTCCTTGTACAACATCATATTAAACACTCCACAAAATATCTTAACACATTATTCATCGCTCGAACTTCTAAATTTAAAATGCTTGTAGACTAACAAGAAGTAGGTGCTTTTGCTTTCGGCGGTAAATACAATCCTTAAAACATCATCATCATTAGAAAAAAGAGATATAACCGCTAACCGAATCGTCTTAATAAGTTTGTATGATTATGGGGCCAATTCTTCAACAGGAGCATTAATCTCTAGCTTCTTGATGACCAATTTGTTGTTAGGTTGGTCAACATCGAGAAGTATAGTGTCTTCCTCTGAAATTTCTCCCTTCAAAAGTTTTGAGGAGATCTCCTTCTTCACTATCTCCTGAATCACTCTCTTCACTGGCCTTGCCCCATTGTTGGGATCAAACCCAAGCTGAGCAAGGAGATCCACCGCTTCTTTTGTGTACTCAAGATTTATTTTCTTTTGTTCCAACAAATTCTTCACTCGTCTCATCTGCACCAAATGGTAACAATATACATTTATACCAAACACAAACAAAAACTAGACCAAAGGAAAAACCAAATACCCTAAGCCTATACACTAACCAATGAGCACTAAATACGTTTTCAAAAATTAAACGGATTGAGTGCCCACTGGTTAGTGTGTAAGATTAGATAAAATATTTCTAATGATGATGTAACAGATGACAAAAATAAAACAAGATAAAATAAAATGGATTTGTATATAAGGTAAAGTACCTGAAACTCCACGATTTTGGATAATTCTGTTAAATCCAACGGCTGGAAAACTATGTATTCGTCAATTCTATTCATGAACTCTGGCTTAAAAGTCTGTCTTGCTAACTCCACAGCTTGTTGCTTCATCATCCCATAAACAGCTTCTTTGCTATCTTTATTGTTGCGGAAAGTCTCAAGTATGGGTTGTGATCCTATATTCGACGTCATTACTACAAAGCAGTTTCTAAAACTTACAGTCCTTCCTTGAGAATCAGTTACTCTTCCATCATCTAGTATCTGTAGAAAGATATTGAAAACATCCGGGTGTGCTTTCTCGATCTCATCAAACAGAACCACCGAGTAAGGTCTCCTCCTAACAGCTTCAGTTAACTGCCCACCTTCTTCAAAACCAGCACAACCAGGAGGTGCACCAACGAGTCGTGAGACTGAGTTTTTTTCCATGTACTCACTCATATCGATCCTCACTATCGCGTTTTCAGTGTTGAAAAGGTATCCAGCAAGAGTGTTGGCAAGCTCGGTTTTACCAACACCTGTTGGACCCATGAACATAAAACTGGCTATTGGACGGTTAGGATCTGATAGGCCAGCCTTTGAACAACGGATAGCATTTGCTATTGATTCTACAGCCTTTTCTTGACCAACAACTCTCTTGTGAAGCACTTCTTCCAACATGACTAGCTTTTCTTTCTCTGATTGCCGAAGATTTGATAGTGGAATACCGGTCCACTTGCTTACTATCTCCGCTATGTGGACATCGGTTACCTCTCCTTGGAGTGAATCTTCGGGATTGGTGAAATATTTCTCCGCTTCTTCTAACTGGCGTTGGAGAGAAATAATTGTTCCATACTTAAGATCATCAGTACCGTTTAGACCACATTCAAGTTCCTCGGATTTATCGATCTGTAAAACACAGAACATGATGATGAGTACATTAAGGTTTGATTTATATCACAGTATAAGAAACCACAACAAGTACTACAACCACTAAAAGTACTATATACAGCCATGTGGAGTGGTGTTCATGAGCTAGCGATCTTTTTAGACCACTAGATCTTATTTGTTTAAGGCCAAAGTAACGTACTTATATTTTAAGAATGAATTAAACCTAAAAACAAGTAGTGTGGGAATTTACCTCTTCTTTAAATGAACGTAATTTAGTAATGAGAGACTTTTCTTGCTCCAATTGCTTACTGAGTTTGTTTCGTTTATCCGCGAGCCTGCTCAAATCTTTATTCATTTTCTGTAGAACTTCTATAGAAGCTTTTTCAGTATCCCTTTGCAAAGAAAACTTCTCTGTCGCGAGTTTGAGCACAGCTTTGTTTATTTCATCCAGTTCAGTTGGTTTCGGAGTGGTTAAAACCCTCAACTTTGCAGCAGCTTCATCAACAAGATCAATAGCTGAAACAAAGAAATTTTATCTTTAAACACAAGAACAACTTGAAAAGAATCACAAGAAGGTGCAAGTTTTGTACCTTTGTCTGGAAGAAAGCGTTCAGTGATGTAGCGGTCTGCCAAAACCGCTGCTGAAACTAGAGAACCATCTGATATCTTAACACCATGATGTAATTCATACCGCTTTCTTAACCCACGAAGAATCGAGATGGTATCTTCAACAGATGGCTGATTACAGAACACTTTCTGAAACCTACGTTCAAGAGCTGGATCTTTCTCCATATATTTGCGGTATTCGGTTAGCGTAGTTGCACCAATGCATCGTAGTTCACCTCTTCCAAGCATTGGTTTTAGGAGGTTGCTCACATCCATTGTATCATCTTTACAAGCTCCTACACAAGGGTAATAACATCCGTCACTTTATTACCTTCCACATCTTAACCATAGCCCTAAATTAGTGAGGCAATGAAGGGTCACCTGCACCAACAATAGTGTGGATTTCATCAATGAACAATATTGTCTTGCCATTGGATGCAGTTATTTCATTCAACATTGCTTTCAACCTTTCCTCAAATTGCCCTCGATATTCGGTACCAGCAATCAGTGCACCTATGTCGAGAGATATAACCTACATTACAAAATAACAATTTACAATCTTGCTCTGCCCGCTTAAAAAGACTTAAGCCAAAAAGAAATCTGCATTAACCTTCTGGTTCAAGAGAGGTTCAGGGACATCCCCTTTTACAATTCTCTGGGCCAACCTGAAAAAGGTTAAAACATTTTTCAGTACAATCATAAGTTTGAGAGATATAATTACAAGAGTTACCCTTCTGCAATAGCGGTTTTCCCTACACCCGGTTCACCGATGATAACAGGGTTGCTTTTTGTCATCCTGCATAGTATTTGGATACACCGGTTAACTTCATCATCACGTCCAATGAGAGGTGGGAGTTTTCCTTGTTTAGCCATCTCCGTTAAATCACTTCCATATTTTTCAAGTGCTTTATCATTATCATCAGTCTACATATAGAACAAAAAAATGGCACAAAAGAAACTAAGGTAATCGAGTCAATGGCGAGTCTAAATGACAAAATTAATCAGCATCAACCACAAACCTGATCTGATTTATCAGAGAAGCTGCGCGGAGAAGGGAATTGGAGAGAAAGAGGTAAAAGTTGGCCACGAGAAGCGGCTTGAGTGGCTGAAGAAGTTATGCCGTTTCCGGAAACGCCGATGAAGGAGTTTGGCCGGAAAAGAAAGGAATTGGATGAGGAACGCGAGCTGAAGTGAGCACAGGCAGAGAGGGCGCGAGACCGGAGGAGGATAGAAGGTCTTGAAAGAGCATTGTGTGCCTTGATGGCTGCGGAAACAGACTTCGATAATCTTCTAGACGCCATGTCAAGATGAATTGGAACAAGGAGGAGCTTGGTATAGTGTTTTAAAAGAGGCGGAAGATAGAGGTTTTAAGATGCTTGGCGAAGAAGCAAATTAGTGTTTGGTGAAGAAGCAAACGAGTTTGCAATAAATATTCGTACATATGTTATAAAGGAAAGAATTTTTTTAGCAGAAATAGAAAGTTTAAAGTGAAATAGAAGATTATATATCAGAAATGTAAAGAATTATTCATTAATCTAAATTTTCCACTTTATCGTAAAAGACAGCAAAAATTAGAATAATTCATTTATAATGTTTTTTTTTTCTAGTATTAAAAATTTATGTAAGATGCTAATAAAGATTAGATTCTTTAGATCAATAAAAATCTCAGAAATACACCATAATACCAACTCTAGGTAGTTTATTTTTTCAATAATAACATAAATTTTTGGAAAAAAATATTTATTCAGCCAAAATAAATTACAAATAAAATTAAATAATTATATTTGGGTTCCTTCATTATTTTCAATTTAGGATATATATTTTCACCATTTAAAAGAGATTTTAATTAGTTATAATATTGAATTTGTGGTATTGTTAGAGGAAGAAAAGGAAGTGATGGTATTTTCGGAATAAAACTTAAAATGTGATATTTTTTATATTTGATGAACCTTTGCTTTACGAAGCACCTACAAGATATTCTACGGCCACTAAATCTTTTGGCTATTTGTAAAACTTCATGGATGATTGTAGCAAATATTTTTTGAATTAATACGAAAACTATAAGTATAAACATTTCAATGTTGGAAGCTACATAAGAGATTATCTTCCCACATTATTCACCGCTCCAACTTCAAATGCTTATGTTCGAAGAAGAAGACAGCACTAAAGTCATGAATCTACAAAACATAGAACAAAACCAAATCGTCTAATTTTGTTTGACATGAGCATTATTATCCATCTTCTTGATGACCAATTTGTTGTTCGGCTGGTCAGCATCGATAAGAATAGTGTCATCCTCTGCAAAATCTCCTTTCAAAACTTTGAAGGTGATCTCTTTCTTCACAAGCTTCTCAATCATTCGCTTCACCGGTCTTGCCCCGTTCTTGGGGTCAAACCCAAGCTGAGCAAGGAGATCCACCGCTTCTTTCGTGCATTCAAGATTTATTTTATTCTGTTCCAACCTCTTCTTTAATTGTCTCATCTGCACCACCATATGGTAACAATACAGTTATACCAAACTGGACAAACGAAAAACCGAATAGCAATGACACGAAGTATATTTGCACAAACTAATCTATGTGAAGAAAGATCCCACATTAAAAAGATCTGAAGACACTTTAGTATATAAGGGACATGGGACAATCCACTCATTGCCAATTGGTTTTGAGTTGGACGCCTATTAAACTTAACAATCTATGGATTGAAAAATAAAGATTGTGAAAACTAAATAGGAAAAAAAGAGAGAAAGGTACCTGTAACTCCACGATTTTGGATATTTCTCTTGAATCCAAAGGCTGGAAAACTATGTATTCATCAATTCTATTCATGAACTCTGGCTTGAAAGTTTTTCTTGCTAACTCCACAACTTGTTTCTTCATCATTTCATAAACTTCTTCTTTGCTATCTTCATTGTTGCGGATAGTCTCAAGTATGTGTTGAGATCCTATATTAGACGTCATTATGACAAAGCAGTTTGTAAAACTTACTGTCCTACCATGAGAATCGGTTATTCTTCCATCATCTAGTAGTTGTAGCAAGACATTGAAGACATCAGGGTGAGCTTTCTCGATCTCATCAAACAGAACCACTGAATAAGGTCTCCTCCTTACAGCTTCAGTTAGTTGCCCACCTTCACTATACCCGACATAGCCAGGACATGCGCCAATGAGCCGTGTGACCGAGACTTTTTCCATGTACTCACTCATATCAATCCTCACTATTGCATTTTCATTGTTGAAAAGGTATCCAGCTAGAGCCTTGGCAAGTTCGGTCTTACCAACACCTGTTGGACCCATGAACATAAAACTGGCTATAGGTCGGTTAGGATCAGAAAGACCAGCCTTCGAACAACGGATAGCATCTGCAACTAATTCTACAGCCATGTCTTGACCAACAATTCTCTCATGGAGCACTTGATCCAACATGACCAGCTTTTCTCTCTCTGATTTCTGAAGATTTGATTGTGGAATACCAGTCTTCTTGCTTACTATTGATGCTATGTCACGATCTGTTAACTCTTCTCGTACTAGCGACTGGTGAGACTCTCGGAAATTCATGAGATTCTTCTCAGCTTCTTCTAACTGGCGTTCGAGGGACGTAAGTGTTCCATACTTAAGATCATCAACACGGTTTTGATCAGATTCACATACAGCTGATACAATTTCCTGGTTCACTCCATCGATCTATTAAACATAGAACATATTTAGAAGGACATTAAGGTTGATATATATCAAAGCACAAGTAACCACCACTTAGTGGTTATGCTGAAGATAGATTTTACCTCTTCTTTAAATGAACGTATTTTAGTAATTAGAAACTTTTCTTCTTCCAATAGCTTACTAAATTTCTTTTGTTTATCCTTGAGTGTGGTCAAATCATTCTCAATCTTCTTTAGCCGTTCTTTAGAAGCTTTATCACTATCCTTTTTCAAAGAAAGCTTTTCCATCTCTAGTGTGGTCACATCTCTGTCTATTTCATCGATTTCTGTTGGTTTAGTAGTGATCTCTATCTTCAGCTTTGCAGCAGCTTCATCAACAAGATCAATAGCTGAAACAAAGAATTTTCATCGTAAAATTAACAAAATATTTTCCCAAGAAAAAAATGGTAAAGGATTACGGGAAGGTGCAAGTTTTGTTATACCTTTATCTGGCAAAAAACGTTCAGTGATGTAGCGGTCTGCCAAAACCGCTGCTGAAACAAGGGAACCATCTGATATCTTAACACCATGGTGTAACTCGTACCGCTCTCTTAACCCACGAAGAATCGAGATGGTATTTTCAACAGATGGTTGATCACATAACACTTTCTGAAACCTACGTGCCAAAGCTGGATCGTCTTCTATGTATTCGCGGTATTCAGTCTGCGTAGTTGCACCAATGCATCGCAGTTCACCTTTTCCAAGCATTGGTTTCAAGAGGTCTCCACGACTAGACGCTACACAAGCAAAATAATATTAGCTAGGAGCAGCAAAACATTAGCCCTCAATTGGCGATGGAATTTTCTTCTAATGAGAAGTAAACAACGTTAACTAATGAAGGGGTACCTTGACGAACAAGAGAGTGGATTTCATCTATGAACAAGATTATCTGCCCATTAGAAGCAATTACTTCCTTCAGTATTGCGTTCAGCCTTCCCGCAAACTCTCCTGTATATACGGCACCAGCAAGCAACGAACTCATGTCGAGAGATATCAACTACAATATATTAAGCAACCAAGCCAAGCATATGTTAAAATCTTCCTTTGGCCCTTTGAAGAGAAAAAATATTAGTTTCCAGGAATAGACCTTCCGATTCAAGAGAGGTTCTGGGACATCCCGTCGTACAATTCGCTCCGCCAACCTGCAATGGTTAAAATCTCTCCGTGAATTTATCGAAGGAGTACAAAATCATAAGTTTGTTTACAAGCCATACCCTTCTGCAATAGCAGTTTTTCCTACACCTGGTTCACCAACGATAATAGGATTGCTTTTTGTCATCCTGCATAGTATTTGGATGCAACTCCGAATTTCATCATTCCGTCTGATCACAGGACGTAGTTTTCCTTGTCTAGCGATCTCAGTTAAATCATTTCCATACTTTGCAAGTGCTTCATTCTCAACTTTCTCCTGAATTAAACCACCAAAAGGCAAACTAAGATAATCACCATCCTTGCCAAAAGACAAACCCGTGAAAAGCAACACGTAACTGACGACAAACCTTAGCTGCGGTATCTGAGAAACATCGCGAAGAAGGGAATTGGAAACAAATAGAGAACAGTTGGCCATGAGCTGTGGCTTTAGTAACCGAAGAGAAGCTGTTTAATGAAACTCCGATGAAGGAATTTGGCCGGGAAAAAAGTGAATTAGGAGAGGAAATCAAGCTCAAGTGTGCAGAGGCAGAGATAGCGCCAGAAGGGAGGAGGGATGGCCTATAAAAAATATTGTGTGCCTTGATCGCTGCCGCAGCAGATTTCGACAATCTCCTAAAGGCCATTGATTTGGTTTAGGGTTTTTACTTCGAGATGCTTGGAGAAGAAGCAAACAAGTTTATAGAGTTAATGTTTATAAATTAATATTTATTCGATAAAATATTTTATGACTATCTGCCGTAAAAGCCCAACAGTTTTAATTATACTTGTTATAGTATATACCCTTTTTTTTTGTCATCTCTAAGTATTTTATCGATACATATATTTATGAATTATAAATATAAATATATTTGTTCATATCATAAACACTACCGCCATTTGTTCTTTATCAGAAACATCCGCAGATTCGTCTACCAGCAGACCGAAAACATCATGATCTATTTCTTCAATAATAGATTTGACAACTTCTTCTGCAAAACAATGCACAATATCTTTTTGGATCTTAGGAGAAGTCATTTGATTATTTCCTGGAGCATTATCTAAAATAACCTTACTCACAACTTCGTTCTGATCAGCAGTATACTTCAAGAGTTCCACAAGGTTACCTCTATTAGCAGACTTTTCAGACTCATCTTGTCCACGGAAAGGTAATCCTTGTCGCAATAAGTATTTAGAAGCATCAACTGAAGCATTCAACCGAATTCGATACTCATTTCTTGTAATATCATCTTGTTTATGCAAAGCATGCTCAATAGACTGACCTTGTTTCATCAAATTTTCACACTTCATAACAGCATTGTTGTGAAAACTATCAACACCTCCCACATGTTCTGAAAAACTCTTAAAATTGTTCTACCTAGAGAACCCTTCTGTGATAAATGCATCACTTCTTACGCATTTACCAGCACTATCTCTGAACAAGTAACAACACAGGCAAAACGCTTTATCTTTTTTCACACTATACTCTAACCAGCTTTTGTACGGATCAAACCAAGCTGGATTAAACCGCCTCATTGTCTTTCCTATC